TTGAGTAGCATACTTCCTGCTGAGTAAGCAGAGATTATAGAAGGACTATAAATCACTAGTTTCCCAGGAGTAAGCTCACTGAGACAGTGAACATGAAGAGCAAACAGAAGTTCCCAGTACAGCAGGGAAGTCCTAGAGTCCTTAATATATTTTCCCTCTAAGTCATCAGAGTGCAGTTGGCTAATCTGAAAGTCTGAAAAGCTATAAATCACTAGTTTCCCAGGAGTAAGCTCACTGAGACAGTGAACATGAAGAGCAAACAGAAGTTCCCAGTACAGCAGGGAAGTCCTAGAGTCCTTAATATATTTTCCCTCTAAGTCATCAGAGTGCAGTTGGCTAATCTGAAAGTCTGAAAAGGGAACAATAAGACATAAAAGTAAAAAGAAGGAGGTGTTAAACTATTTCCTTTTTCTCTATTGCTCTTTTTTTTTTCCTTGTGGAAAGTTGCATCCTCTGTCAATGCTATATCAGGCATTGACAGAGGACGCAACTTTCCACAAGGAAAAAAAGGCCAGTGGACAAGAGTGACCATCAGAAAAACCACTTTTAGAACCTCAAAGAAGAAACAAGCCATAAGCCTTCAGGAGGAGAAAAAAAAGAAGCAATAGAACAAAAGGAAATAGTTCCTGGAAGGTAGAAGGAAAGCAGGTGGGCCCTACAAGAAGAATAAGAGAAGACTCATGATATTTGATGGCTCACTACTATGTGGATCCAGAACAAACATATGCCAGCTGGACTCACTGGATTGTAAAGTATGTTGTATGGCAGGAATAAAGGTTAAGGATGCAAAGAACAACTTTTATCAAGTTCACTGAAAGATATCCTAGCCTGCTAATCCATGAGGGGATGATACTGTAAAGAACAGTTTCAGCTCTATGACCATATATTTTGAAGGTTTAGGTAGGAGGCTTCAGTAGTGTTCTCATATATCCATCCTATTCATTGAAAAGCAAAAGGAAAAAAGAATCTGGAAATGACTGACTGATCATGCAAATGATATCAGAGATTTTGTTTCTGCATCTGAATTACCTGGCTAAAGAACTGTTGGATCTTTAGAACTGTTGGCCTTAAAGAGCTGTTGGCCTTAAACTTAATCTAATGGATGGTAGAGTTGAAAACCTGTATGCAAAAGTCTCAGACAAAAACTTGTACACTGCAGAAATGGAAATGTTACTCTAATGAAATCTGTAAAATCACTCAGTGAAAAATCATAAAGAATATTGGCTCATAAAATTGTATTTTATTTATTTTACTGCACGTGTATGCTTTCCCACATTGCTGGATAGCTTACACCAATAAAACACATCATAAAAGCTTCATAAGCTTAAAATAATAGAAAATATTTAGCAAGACACATATAACCACAAAAAACATAACTGCCAAAAACCATATATAACAGTTGTCATCCCTATCAATGTGTTTTCCAAAAGCCAAACAAAAGATGATCTCCACCTGAATAAGAGCAAGGAGGACTCCATTCTAACCCTGGGAGGAGAGAATTCCACAGGGCCAGTACACCAGTGGAAAAGCCTGGCTCTGCACTTCTGTTCCCCAAACTATTCTGGAGAGAGGATCAGAAGCATACCTTCCTGGATAGATTCACAGGATGGGAAAAGTCTACTTGGACTTGTGGTGGCCCCACAAAAATCAAGGATTTAGCCAATAAAGAGATTTATAGGTGATAACCAGCTCTTTGAATTGTCCTGGAAAACTATTGGTGGTCAGGGCAGCTCTTGCTGAATCATGTGACTTTGTTAAACTGGGACCAACCCATTAACAGATGGTATGCTGCAGTTTGGACCAATTGCAGTTTTGCATATTCTTCAATAGAGAGTAACCCAACTGTAATTAGGGTGATGAGGTCATGAATAATTGTCTGTGGAGCATTCTGTTCAGAAATAGCTCCATCTGGTGCACTACCCTTACAGCAATTGTAAGTCAAGAATTCCCAGATCCTAGAGCAGCTTTTTAGGGGATTCCAACCCTATCAAAAGCTAAATATGGAGCTACACTTTTCTAGATAAACCACCACTCCATCTTGCTGACATTTAATCTGAGTCTGGCCTTCATTGCTCAGATTATGGCAAATAACCAAAATGAACTTGAATTCTTAGTACAGGATGGCAAATATGATTTATAGCTGTAACAAGTAACCAGGTGGAATTATTCCCATGACTGAAATATAGTACAGTGGTACCTCGGGTCACAAACACTTCTGTTCATGACCAATTCGGGTCACAAACAGCACCGTTCGCAAAATTTTTCTTCCATCCGCGAACTCCGCATCGGGTGACGAACAGGATCCGTGGCCATTTTCCCTGCCGTGACACGTCATGGCTTCCTGTAGGGAGGGGGACTCTCCCTCCAAGCAATAACCGCCTCCCCACCCACCTTCCTGTCCTCCACGCCAGAAGTCGCCTCGAGCAAGGTTAGCGTTCTCTCTCTTCATAC